GGTCGAGTTTTAAAAAAAGTACTTGAAAGACTCAGAGAGGTTTTGGATTGGCGTTTCAAAATGAAAATTAAAACCCCGTCAAAATACTTTTTATAGAGTACAATAAAATTTTGGTTTTATTTTTTAAAAATTTTTTTATTTTTCAATTCCATCCGCCATAAGCAAAACCAAACCCTTTCTAAAGAATCAAAAAGGATTAATTAAAAATTCTAACACATTAAACTTATAATGTTGTGAACCTGAAGTTTTTTGGTGTTTTGTTTTGTAATCCTCACCCGAGAATGGGCCGAGACCTGCCCCTGTGCCCACCACAGCCTCGTGGCCCACAGTTCTTTTCAGGGTGCACGAATTTGTGCACTGGGCCCCTAGTATAACCATAATGCTAATATCAAGATCAGGAAATTTAACATTGATATAATACTATACTCACTTCATGGTCCATGTTCAAATTTCATCAATTTTTATACATACTTATTCTTAACACAAGCATTAATCTTAATCATTTTGATTCTCTTAGGGATTTTTACAGTTAATTCTAAATCTTTCCAGAGCTTAAAAATAATACATTTCTGCCCTAGCCAGTTTGGCTCAGTGGATAGAGCATTAGCCTTCGGACTGAAGGGTCCCGGGTTGTGGGTTCAATCCCCAGTAGGAGGCATGCAGGAGGCAGCCAATCAATGATTCTCTCTCATCATTGTTATTTCTATCTCTCTCTGAAATAAATAAAAATAATATTTAAAAATTAATAAAAATAATACATGTCCACAAAGGAAGCCAAGTTACTATCACAGGCACCTGGGGTTTGCCACCAGACTTTGGATGGATGAACTGTGGGAAGTCCTGTCACCTCTGTGAATGTCATCCCAAATTTCTTTCTATAGTAACATTGTCAGGACTATACAGCTTAGAAAAGGGGTTGGTTTCCTAGCTCACTTATTCTCTATTTACGGATTTCAGAAGCTCCTACTCAGACTAATCAACCTGTTTGAATTTTTAAAATCGTTGATTTTGGTAGATTTTGACTTTTAAAACTCTTATTTTTGTATTTAGCAGTTACCTTCTCACACATGCTTAATAGATTAATCTCCAGCTCTGATCATGCTTACTTTCTTTCTTTCATTCTTTTTTTTAAATTTTTTTATTGCTTAAAGTATCCAAAGGGGTATCCATATGTGTCCTTCCCCCCCCCCCCCCCGCCCTTGACAAGCTTACTTTCTAATATAAATATTTGATGGCCCTGGCCAGATAGCTTAGTTGGTTAGAGCATCGTCTCAATATGCCAAAGTTGTGGGTTCGATACATGGTCAGGGCACACACAAGAATCAGCCAATGAATGCATAAATAAGTGGGACAACAAATTGAGATTTCTCTCTCCCTTCCCTCCTCTCTAAAACCAACAATAATAATACTAATAATACTAATAATAATCCTATATAATAAAAGGCTAATATGCAAATTGCCCCCTCAACTGGGAGTTCAACCAGGGGGCAGGGCCATCTGGCCAACCTCCCTGGGCCCCTCCCCTCATGGGCCCTGATGGAGGCGGGCCGGCCAGACCAGACCCGTGCAGGAATTCGTGCACCGGGCCTCTAGTAATAATAATACTAGACTCGATGGTTCTCTTCTGGCTATGAAGAATGCTCCCTCCCCCACATCTAATCTAGTTACAAATGCATTCACAAGCCTGGTCTCCCTGCATAACCAGAGACCATCTGCTCCATGCTTCCTTGCCTCTATGCTGAGATTTTCCTTCCCATTATCCTTTCTTTATCTCCCTATCTTTCCTTCTCTACTTCCGTCAAGGTCATATCTAATGTTTCTTTATCCTAACAAGGGAATCCTTCTTGGCTTTTCCCACTCTTCCTCTGATATCCCTCAAAGTTTTATTTATTCTCTTTTACTGGTATCAAATGATTTAAGTTGAAAATTACTTTAAGATGCCCTAGCCAGTTTGGCTCAATGGATAGAGCATCGGCCTGTGCACTGAAGGGTCCCGGGTTCGATGAAGGGTCCCGGGTTCAATTCTGGTCAAGGGCACATACTTTGGTTGCAGGCTCCCTGCCCTGGTTGAGGGTGTGCGTCTCTCTCATATCGATGTTTCTCTCTGTCTCTCCCTCTCCCTTCCACTCTCTCTGGAAAAAAAAAAAATCAATGGAAAATTACTTTAAGAAAGGGATTGTTTTTAATGGGAGTAAAGGGAGGACCTATGTAATACTTTCAACAATAAAGATAAGAAAAAAAGAGAAAGGGATTGCTTAATTATTCCTTGTTGTATCTTACATAATATAATTGATTAAGAGATATTTGTCTAATGAATTAAATTAATAAATGATTGTTTTATTTTTTTCAACTGTAGGCCTTAACTGAAAGCAGTGGTTATCATATATTCCTCTGATTTTCCCAGAGCCTGATAGGAGACAAAGCTTAATTCATAGGAAATATTTACAATGCTTAATTAGTATTTCATGGTGTTATAATGACAGGACCTTCAGTTTGAATCCCAGCTCTGCCACTTACTAACTATATAAACTTAAATAAACTGCTGAACTTCAAAGTACCTTGGTTTCTCAAGTATTTCAAAGAAATGAAATAAAAATGGTACCCCAGGTGAAGAATAAATTAATTAATATGTGTTGAGTACTGTCACTGTTAGTATCATCATCATTTTAAACAACACAAGAAGGGATTAGCGCATACCTTTGTATTATTTTTCCACCCACAGTGAAAAGATAAAACTGTATTTTATTTCCAGTTAATGATTATATTCCACCTCAAAGTCTCATGGTAAATTTTGAGTTCGAGTACAACTAATTTAAATAGAAAACCATGAGTTTGAACATATTTCCACAATTAAGACCAAAACAACATTCTCCATGGAGATATGCGGTTCTGCCTCCTTCCTCCTGGCTTTGGTTTCTCTTTCGTCTCTGTTTGACTTAGAAGAGAGCCACTAACATGTACTTGAAACATGGGGATCTGTGATAGTGCGAGTCCCAATTTCCAAAGGGCAAAAGTAGTTAAGAACAAACGTACAGTGCCCCTTACAGGGCCTCATGTGTGTGGTGGGGCTGGGCCTTCCCTCTTGGCTGAGTTTACCACTCCATCACCAGCATTACCATGTATTTCTTTTTAAATATTTAAAAAATATTTAATTGATTTTTTTACAGAGAGGAAGTGAGAGGGATAGAGAGTTAGAAACATCGATGAGAGAGAAACATCGATCAGCTGCCTCCTGCACACCCCCTACTGGGGATGCACCCTCAACCAAGGTACATGCCCTTGACCGGAATCGAACCTGGGACCCTTCAGTCCGCAGGCCGACGCTCTATCCACTGAGCCAAACCGGTTAGGGCTACTATGTATTTCTTAGGCAACATGCACCACGGCCATTTCCTCCACATCTTTAAGTTCCTGAAAATTTGAGTTGGAATCCGTACAACTAGTTTGAGAAAGATGGGCATTGATCCTTCAGCTATGATTGTGGTTATTCTTTCTGCTGAATTTGCCAGGAAGTCTGGTCCAGAGGTCAGACCTACTCTGTCATCTTTTTTTTTAAATATATTTTATTGTTTTTTACAGAGAGGAGGGAGAGGGATAGAGAGTTAGAAACATTGATGAGAGAGAA